CCGCAGCTGGCCCAGGGATGGGGAAGGAGGGCTGATCATGCCACTCAACGGTGCCTGGTTCTTTCAGATTTGACTTTCTTATGGATTTTCTGCTGTAAAGAGGAGAGAGCCTGTGGTTCTAGGCCAAGCATCTCACTCATCTCAAAGCATCTTATATCCCTTAGCCAACATTTATGTCAAGTTTTAGAAGTCCTACAAACTGGCAAGCATTTCTCAATCTGGTTTAACCATTGGATTTTATATCTGTCTGCATCTCTATTTACATCTATGTGGTTATTTGACACCCTGTAGTACCTTTGTAATAGGTTCTATTTGGTGGAATTTATTTTCAACAAACCCTTGCTGCTACTAGAATTTTCAAGGTTGCAAGTAGAAAGGAGAGAATAAAAACCACATCTTCTCTAATTTTAAAATTTGTTGTTCCTCAAATCACACCCGAAGTACAAATATTACAAATTATAAAAGCAGCCAGAATCAAGAGATTTCTGGGTGATTCTGGCTAATCAGCAGTATTTGCTGAGGTGTGTGCAGCAGAGCAACACACCAAGAAGCTCGGGATGGGGGAGAGTTGGGAGGCCAGGCTGTGACTCCAGAGGTGCTGTTGCCTCAGGGAGAGGAGCTAGATGCAGAGAGGATAAATGGCCGCAGGTGCGACCACCGCCGTCCTTGCTGCGGTACGGGAGCCTTTGTATGGGGGCCTTTGTGAGCTGAGTTATGAACCAGGTGAAGGCCGTGCAGGCGTCAGAGAATCCAGGCCAGACACGAGGGGTGGAGGCTTGGCGGAGGTGAAGAGCCAGACAGCCTCACTAAATGCGGTGGCTCACTGCAGACAGCATCCATCAGTCGCTAGACAGACAGGCTTGATCTTCAGCCCCTACGACAGCTGCCTTTATCCTGTCTGCCTCCACCTTCTGAGGCCTATAGGCATCTCAAATGTGTGTTTCTTAAACAGATTTGGATGAGTTGCTTTCTGCATAACACACCTGGACAGACAGAGGCTGGTTCTTCACAATGGCACCAGGGACTTGGCGGGGACTGGCAGGACAGAGGCACAGCACCAGCTCCCTGGGAGAAGACAGTGCCTGTGGGATGGAGGAAAGAAGAGGCATACAGTGCTGAGGTGTGAACTCTAGTTTGCTCTTAGACATGACACACAAGCTTTCCGGAGGTTTCCACGAAGCACCGTTAAAGCCACCAGTGTGGACGGGTCCTAAGATCAGGAGACCCAGAACATACTTGTATTTGAAATCCTTCACGTGCTGCAATCTCTTCAAAGAGGACCACAAGTCATCTCTAATAATGTAAAATTAATTTTTTAATAAGTGCCATGGCTTTTTGTGTGTGTGTGTGGGGTAGGGCTGGTCTGTGACAGTAAAATAGATTCAGTGACATAGCTGGTGGGTGTTGGTTCTGGGCTCCAATTGGGCAGTTGTATGAAAACAAACCAAAAAGTCTCCACAGTGGTATGAACAGAAACACCTGGATTATGTGTTTTCATGTATTTAACATAAATGCACACATTTGTATTCTAAACACATTTTTCTATATGTAATAAAATTCACACCTTTAAGTATTTAGCATAGAAACAGCTGTGCAGCATCTTCTCCATGCCCGCAGACACCCGGACGTTCTGAGTGGAAACCGCACTGCTGTGGACTTTGTGAGTGGTGAGCCGTGCACAGATATGGGCTGTGTTTGCTGTGTCCGCTGACACAAGCCCTGGTCAGTCCTGTTTCAGGTGGATGCTTTCCCTTGTAGTTCCCTTCTCTTGTTCTGTTTGTAAGTTCAGTAAACTCGGGACCAATGGTGAACAGTAGGCGTAGAGGAGCACGGTGTCGGCAATTAAGGAAAATCCACGCCAGACCTTGCAGAAGCAGGAGGCGTGTGGAGATCCAATGCCTGTGTGAGCCATGACTGGTGAGGGCCTCTGGGTAGCAGCTCATCTGGGCTACTTGGAAATGCAGATTCCTGGGCACAGACCTGAGAGGCCCTGGAGTGACCACCCTCCAGGGATTCCGCCCAAACTTGGCCATCTTGTCTTTTGGCAGATCACCCGTGCCCAGCTGTCTCATTGAGATGCCCAGCCATCACAGTTACCTGCACAGCTGGTGTGGGTGTGCCAATGGGTGTACGGGACTGGCCTGTCTTCCTTTCTCCCCCTATGAAGTGTTTGAAGGTCTGTTATCCTACCCTGTTCTCTCCCTGTCCTCAGTGGGCAAGCAGGAGCTTCATTTTCACTTGCAGATGAGGAAAATTCTAAAAGTCTCATAAAGCAGCCAGGATCATCTTCAGAATCTTCTTTGTTCCAATCAGCTCTGATATTTTCACTTGGAAAGACTTTTCCTCAAACACTTTGCATTCGTTCTGTATGAGAAGTGCTGTATGAGAAGTTCTGTATGAGAAGTGCTGTAGACTTTCCTGTTGTTTTAGTAATTAGGATCTGTTCTGTTGTCCATCACAAACGTATATATTTTCATTCTGAGACACGCTGAGTCAGTCTTTGCAGTCCAGAGGGATTTCATGTGCATTCATAGAAGCTTCCATCAGAAACCACATTCCAAATAGCTGTGGACATACAACCTGCTTGTGACTTTGGGAATTGCCAAAGTCAAATTCTCTCTCGATTTTGAGGCTTTAGGAGCTTTAGAAATCTTGAAATTATAAAATGAAGATGTGACAAAATTAAGTGTATGTCAAACAAAAGAGATACTATGCTGCGGGTTTTAAGGGCTGTGGTGCATTATTTCGTTATCTTTAAGGATGTCGTGTTCCACCCAAGTTACAAATACATGAAATAATTTAAACATAAGGTGACCCCTTCAGAACATCCTGGATTTGGTCTTGATCTTCTGCCCTTGAAAATGAGATTCTTTTTTTTTTTTTCTTGAAAATGTGATTCTTTTTTTTTTTTCTTGAAAATGTGATGGTCCTAAACTGTGTGTCTAGACCATCTCATCTGAATTGCTTTGGAAACATCTGCACGGGCATCTTTCTCTTCTTGGGTATAGAGAGAACGACATCATTATGCTTTAAAATAGCAAAAGTCCCGTAGAGCAGTTTTTCTGAAACTAAGGAGCTATTGTTGGAAATCAAGGTGTGTAGCAAGTTATAGAATCTCTCAGTGAAAGTGATTATTTAAAATAGAAATCTTAGTTTTTAAAATAAAATGCTAATAGAGAACGTTTTGTTCACAAGAATCTAAAATGTTACGTCTTTGTTTAGAATTTAAGGATAGTAATTTGCTTCTGAGATCTTTGAGATTTGAAATCTTAACTATGGTTTATCAATGTTTTATATATATGCATGTATGCATATATATATGTAAGGTATATAACACAAAAATAAGCATGTATGTATTTACATTTCTATACCCTTCTATAATGTGTATACTTCTAGTCACACAGAGGTCTAAGTGACTATGACTTTATTTGATGACCAAGAGGGTAATTAAATAATTTTCCTGCTCTTAGCCTTGCTTTTGCATCTGATCAGGGACCCTGCGAAGTGCGCCTCCCATGTTCCAGGCTTCACACAGCCCACGCCAGGTTTTGGAAGCAGGAGTTTGTCTGCAGCCACTTCGGGAAGCAGGTGGTTGCCTAGAGCTCCAGGCTGTCTCCACTCCAAGCCTCCCTGGGTAGAAGCTGCCCCACTAGGGGCCTGGACATGGATGTTGGGGCCTGGAGCCAGGGACTGCTCTGGAAGAAGCACTCCTGTCACTGCTGGGCATGAGAACCGAGGACAGGAGGTGGAACCAGCCTCGGGCCAGTGCACGGCCTCCCGGGAGTGCTTGCGGGAAGCCCCAGCCGCCCTTTCCTGACCCCACAGCCAGCACCAAACTGTGAGATCCCCTTGGCCCACCCCTCAGGTTCCTAAAATGGTTAGGGTTTCCTGGGCTGTGAATTTTTAAGTCTAGGCTAAAAAGTCCTGGGACAGACTCACAGGGTTCTTCATGTAGAAACGATGAGGGTGCTGGTGACTCAGAGCAGGCACTGCACCCTTACTCCAGGGTCCTTTGCGTCAGGTGGAAATGAGCGTGTGGGTCACACAGAGTCCCTGCATCCTCGCTCCAGGCATTGCTCTTTGGTTTCTTAATTAATAAGCCTTGATAATGAAAATGTGTTCTCCCCAGAGTAGAGTTTCCGGTTATGGAGGCTCAACTGTAAATGCCGTGCCAGGTCAAATACGCTGAGATCTGGGCCAGGTCCTGCTTCCTGCCCATGGCCAAGGCAGGTCCTTCATTTGGGAGGTGACCCAGAGGGACATCTGAGAGGCCTGCCTGTCCCCGAAGGATGAAGCCACTGGCCTTCACACTCTGCTCCGGCCTCCATCAGCTCCTTCCTACCTGCAAACTGCCTGCTTTTATGTTGCCATCGTTGGAGATATGTTAGGAACTTCGTATGGAGCGACCCCCATAGGACAAGCAGATCGTGGAAAGGTGGGAACCAGGGCTGGGAGGGTGGTGACCATGGCCAAAATGAGAACCGCGGTGGGCTGGGAGGTCCATCTTCTGTCTAAAATGTTTTTTAAAATAGTATCTCAGGAGCATGAGAGGGCAGGCCACAGACGAGGAGAACGTATCTGTAGAAGACTCATCTGATAAAGGCTGTTATCTAAACCATGCAAGGAACTCTCAAAACAAGAAAATGAACAACCTGATTAAAAATGGAAAAAAGACCTGGACAGATACCCCAGCAAAGAAGATACACAGATGGCAAATCTACACGTGGAAAGATGGCCCACGTCTTATGTCATAGAGTGAGGTGCCAATGCACACCCACCAGCCTGGTCAATACTGGAACTCTGACACGACCATGAGCTGGTGGATGTGTGGGCGTCAGGACCGTCACTCATCGCTGGGGGAAGTGGGGCAGCTGCTGTGGGAGGCAGCGTGGCAGTTTTCCATGGAACTAAGCACTCCGACCACAGGAGCAATCACAGTCCTGGACGTTCACTCAGAGGAGCTGAAAATTTACTTCCACGAGGAAATGTGCACACAGATGTTCACAGCAGCTTTATAGCTTTATTTATGATTGCCAAAACTAGAAAGCAACCAAGATGTGCTTCAGTAGGTGAACGGATAAACTGTGTTACGTCAGAAACTGGGATATTATTCAGCACTAAAAAGAACTGGACCACTAAGCCATGAAAAGACACGGATCTTAAACGCATGTTGGTAAGTGAGTCTCCAATCTGGAAAGGCTGCCTGCTGTGTGAGTCCAACTGCAGGACAACCTGGAAAAGGCAAAGCTGTGGAGACAGTAAAATGGTCAGCGGCTGCCAGGGGTTGGGGAAGGGAGGGATGAATGGGAGGAGCATAGGAGGATGTGTAGGTTGGGGAAGCAACTCCGGATGGGGCTTTCATGGGGGATCCATGCCGTTCCATGTCTGTGAAACCCACAGAGTGAGCAGCAGCAGGCCGAGCCCTCGTGTGAGCTGTGGACTCTGGGTGGTGGTGCCGCGTTGATGCGGGTCTGTCAGTCGTACAGAAGTGTGCTGCTCCGATGGGGGCAGGAGAATGATGGAGGCTCTGCCTGTGCTGGGGAAGAAGATAGAAATGTGAGGACTCTGTACTTTCCTCCTGATTTTGCTGTGAACTGAAAACTGCTTCTAAAAACGTCTATTGAAAAGGCAAACAAGAAAGAATGCTAGCCAAAGAGTGCTAGCCAGATGGCATCTGTGTGAGGGTGTGGCCTTTATTCTACTTTCAGTATTTCCGTGTTAGAATACACATATCTGAATTACTCAGAAGTTAAACCTTTGCATTAAGTAACTCACTACAAAGTTACAGTATCAGCTTGAGCACTGCCAGGATAGCCAGGATCCTGTATCCTGACCAGCTTCTCCCCTTACAGGTGCAGTGACACCCACGGCCTCACGCCAGTGAGCAGCAGGGCTGGGACCAGGAGTCAGGCTTTGGGGGACGGAAAGGAAGTGAGATCTGTAAGCCCGTGGCAGGGAGGAGCCCATGGCAGGGAGCCGGCAGGGATTTTTTTTTTAAACCAGTTTTCCTTATCGCTGAGGCCTTCTTAGACTTGGGGAGTTGGGAATCCCCACTCTCGGGCACCTCAGAAACCAAAGGCTGCTCCTAATCCTCATGTTCCAGAAGCCTCAGGGGGAGGTACCTGGGTTGTTGGGTGTAGTTCATTATTTACTGCTCGGTGGAATTTGCCCCCAGCATTTCTGGTGGTTTTTAAGAGCTGATGCTTAAGCTGCTTAAAATCACACATGGATATTGATTTACCTGTAAAAGTTAAGAATGGAATTTGAGTTCAAAGGTTTGTGAAAATGTTCAAGTTTGTGTACTAATATATACGTTACATTTCTGGAAATATCTAAAAGTCCAGGATTTATATTAAACACTTCTCTTGATTTTTGTAATATCCACCTGTCATATTTCCATTTGGTTAATAGATGTCAGAGGGCTTAAATTTTGAGTGCCTGAATTCACTGAATTTAAAACTTCTTACCTCAAATGTAATTAAACTGAATGTAGCCAACAGTATTATAAGTTTTGATTAAAATATATATAAAAGCACATATCCATGAGCATGCAGATGGGGGCAAGATATTAAACCATGGAAGTAGAATTAGTGTTCTTTGTTTTCTGAGAAGACAAACTTTTAAAAAACCAAGGGGTCTTACAACTTTTTAGTTTCCAACTTACTTACCCTAAAGTGAAAGTTTGGCAGGAGAAGATTGACAGCAGCAGAAGAGTAGATCCTGGGCGAGTGTAGGCTCTGGGAGCAGCGGGGTGAGTGCTGGAAGGAGCTGGCTGGAGGCAGAGCAGGGAGGTGCTCAGGCAGGTCAGGATGGCCTCAGGGAACGTGGCTCAGTGAGTGAGAAAGGGTTCACATTTCCTGGAGAGCCCTTGTCTCTGCCCATGGAAAACCCAGACTCCTTCCAACTGGGATGTGCATCTCATGTAAAAGTTACTACTCCCAGAAAGGAAGCCAGTGGATATAGAATTTTTTTTGTATGCAGAAATTACTTTAAATTTGTTTTTAATCTTATCCTTTCTTCCCCATCTTAGTGTCTATGACTTCCTGCAGGTAATGCACACATCTTAGGAGAGCGCTGTATTTCAGTTGCTGTTGGCTCTGATGTGACTTTGTGGTGTCTGAGGTTCTGCCCAGAGCGTGGCGCTCTCTGCTGAGCGTTGCTTGTTGAAGGCCCGTGTGGAAACTTTGCCTGTAAGCTCGTCGACCCCAGCAATCTTGGTTCAGAAACCTTTGGACTTCCTGAGACTTCACAGGGCCTGCTAAACTTTCTTGCGTGACCTTTTCATTTTAGTGTTCCCCATTAATTCAGATGTTTTCCAGAAGGTAAGTAAGCTGCTGAATGCAGGGTGGGGGGTGCCCTCCATTGGCCCTGGGGAGAAGCATCGCTGTTTCTCCGGGTGGAGCTTCCCTCCCGCCATGGTGTGCTCCAAGATGGAGCAGGGTTCTTTGGCAGAAGTAACCGTCAAAGGCCCTTGTCTCAGTGGCAGGGTGGCTGTGGGTGTGCGGCCTCGCGGCCATACGGGCCCCTCCCTGTCAATGGCACCAAGGAGAGGAGCAGGGGGAGGCCTGGGATCTGTGCTTCCGAGACTGTGTCGTCTGTTTGTAACTAGACATGCAGAGAAAGTGTTGGAGCTAAGCAGGAGACAGTGTCTGCCCCTATTGAGCTCAGGCGTGCCGTCTGAATCGGCCCCCTTCCAGGCTCGCTGTGCCAGCTGAGCGCCCAGGCCTGACTTCCCACCAGGGCAGAGGCCCCGTGTATGTGGGGTGGGGGGGAGGGTCTTGCTTTATTGCGGTATCCAACGCCACGCGGGGTCAGCGATTGAGTTCAGAAACCTCAAAAACTCAGCAGTGCAGACTTTGGACATGACCCGTCCAGCCCTGGGGCTCTTTCTCTGAATTTCCTTCCATGGCATCCTCATCCCAGAGGCTCCTGTCCCCACACGGCTGTTGGCAGCTTCACAGCTTCCTCTGCCTCCCCTCCCAGGCCCTGGTGTGGCTGGGGCAGCTGGTGGCTGTGCAGACCCCACAGCCAGTAGATCGTTGGTGCCAATGGCTTGGGTCTGGGTTACCTGAGCCAAGGACTCCAGTGCACGGCTGAGCTCACCCTGAATTGGCTGGATTGGAAGGCCTTGGGCTGTAGAGAGGCAACCAGAAGATTGCGGATCGAAGGACAATCTGCAAAGGAGAAAGGGAAATAGGTGTGCTGGATGGGCAACTGGAGAAGTCTGTGCAGAGCCTGGGACCCGGTACAGATGCAGAGCTGGCATGGGGAATCTGGTGACACGGCCACCGTGGAAGTGGGCAAAGTCAAAGGCTTCAGACTGACAAGGAGGGGCTGGTCTAAAACGATCCTCCTTTTCCTTTAATCGTAGCATCTGTTGGCTTACAGGGTGGGGGAATGAGATCTGTGGTGGTGGCGAGGAGAGACAGGGATTTTAATTAAACCCCTCTTTCTGGGAGAGGGGAGTAGCCGTCTCTGTAGGACGGTGAGCATTGTCATCTCAGGCAGCTCAGGCTGCTGTAACGAAACACCATTGACTGAATGGCTTATGAACAACAGAAATTTGTTTCTTGTAGTTCTAGAGGCTGGAAGGTGGGATCAGGGTGCCGTACGGGTGGGTTCCGGTGTGGGCCCCTTCCTGGTTCACACACACCTTCTCTCTGGCCCTGACACAGTGGGAGGGTGATGGATTTACTGGGCTCCTTGTCTGAGGCACAAACTCCATTCACGGGGCTCCAGCCTCAGGAACTCATCACCTCCCAGAGACCTCCTGACAGCATCGCATTGAGGGTGAGCATTTCAACCTGTGTTTCGGGGGACAGGCAGGTGGTTCATAACCGTCAGCCTCTTTGTGTATTTCTGACTCAACGTTGAGTCTGCATTGGGCTGTCCAGGGAACAGAGCCTGTGTGGACACTGAGCGAGGTCAGAGCTGCAAGCTTGTACACATCGGGGGTAGGGGAGCTGCCAGGGCTGTGAGAAGGGGGTTTCAGCATCAATCAGAGCTGCTTTCCTGCCAAATGTACTCATAAGCTATCCTGGCAACATTTGCTTTTCGTGAAGGAGTCGGTCAGGCAGGGCAGCAGGCGGTGTTGCCAGAAGCTTAGAACTGATGGTCAGCAGAGAAGGGGCAGAGGCCATGACCTTGGTGTGGTCAGCAGTGCCAGGTGTCTGCCCTCCAGGCCTCACACCTGTGACTGTGCATAGACTGAGCCGACTGGGGCTGCCGGCCAGTGTGGCTCTCATGCAGGTGATTATTGGGGTGTGCTTTCTATGTAATGTTCCCTCAACCCTATCCCCACCCCTCCAGTTTCTGTGCCTAGCAGAAATCATGCTGCATCTCCTTGATGAAGCATTGAGTTTCCTGTGGAGGTGTAGGAAGAGCACGATTTGGCTCACGTCAAAATACTTTGCAGTGAAGCTGCATGGAAGAGGATTTTAGGCTTCCATTTGATGTTTCAGACAATGCCTGAGTGTTACAGGGCCCTCTTGCTTGTTAAAAAACACCAGATGAGAAAGGCTACTGGTTAATAAGGGAGACGTTTTACATTAGCGCAGAGAGGGTGGCTTGAGATAAATTCAGTGTAACGTAGGTGTGTTTGTAAGCCGTGAAAGGGACCATCTCTCTGCTGGCGACACATGTTGTATGGATTTTGTTCTGAAAAAGGATGACTGGCTTTCGGTAGAATCATTCCAAAATTCACCTGGAAGGCGTCCACATGGTGCCTTGTTTTCTTCTGACATTCTGGGCACCACGAGGAATTACTCTTGTCTTCAGCACTAGCAGGAGACTTTTCCTGAACACATGCTCCTCTTTGGGTTGTGGGTGTGAGGGGGTCAGAGTGACCCTGTCTTCCTGGAGCTTTCGGACACCATGGGGACAGTGTGGCACGATGTCGGGCTCGGGTGGGATGGAGGCTTCCCCAGAAAACAGCTGCCGATTCCAGGGCGGCCCTCGACCCCTCCTCCTCTGTTCCTCCACGTCATGTCTGAATTAAGGTGGTTCTATCATAGCGGGGGTGTCATGTTAACTGGAAGTGTGCTTTTGTTCTGGCAGTAAATAAATTAATGGTACATTTGCCAAGGACAGCGAGATGTGATTTGATGAATCCAGTGTGGAAAAGGAGAAGGGGCTTGGCGGGGTGGGGACATGTGTGATGGCAGCAGAAAGGAGCAGCCATGAAGGCTGGTGGGATGGAGGGTCGCCCCGCATTTCCATGGGGTCTCGATGTTTGTGCCACTAGACCTGAACCTCTGTCTCCATTCTAAAACCTGCATAGTGAGGAAGCCCCTGATGGGCCTGAGTTGTTACTTCCCATGGCCATTGCTGGGAAGGGCCCCGGACGCCTCTCCTGGCTGGTGACGGCCCCGGGACTAGACACTGGCTTCGTCCTGACCTCTGCGAGGGGCTTGGGCTCCACGCACAGCAGGTACCTGCGCATCCCTTTGGACGTGAGATGTTGGCGCTTGGCTTGGAGGCCACCGCGATCTGGGTGTGGTCAGGACTGGCTCATCCTCTGGGGAGAGAGCACCTGCCCGGGGGCCTCTCTGAGGTGCGTAGCCCTGCAGTGCCCTCACAGGATGCCCTGTCCTGCGGGGACTTCCTGCCATTCTCCTGGACCCTCAGGTGTGGGAGCCAAGTGTGGTGTGTGTGTGTGTCCCGGGTGGGGGTGCTGAGGACAACACGTGCCTGCTCGTGCGAAGACCCGAGGCACTGCATGGGCTCGTTTCCAGGGGACCGTTGGCGTCTGGGGGCCTGTGGGTGTCTTTCCACTGGCAGGAAATAATGGGTGGCCCATGTTACCTTTTTTGTCTTTTTTTTTTTTTTTTTTTTTGCCAAAAAGCCCTAATGCCAACGTTGCAGTCCCGCTGTGGGAACCACCCATCTCAGGCTCACTGGCCCTTCTGTTCTGGGCTGTTGCAGTGTTGTGTTGGGATAACTGTGTTAACTTCGTTTGAATTTTCTTCCTGTTCCTTTGGAATAAGTGTCGATAGCTTGTGCTGCTTGTTCACCCGAGAGGCAAGGGTGTCCTTTAGGCCTGGCAGAGCACAGCGGTGCAGGGAGGTGCTGGGCCTCGGCCTCCCTTGTCCGCAGCCCTCACTGCACGTCTGCTCTTCACTCCTCGTGCACAAGGCCGGGGTCAAGGGCTGCTCACTCTGCTGTTTGAGATCCTCTGAAAAGGTGATGCTTACACTGAAGGGAGATTGTGGGTGTTCGGCTGATTTTAAATAGGAGGAAATGATGGTAACAGAATGAGCAATGCCTAGCACTTAGTCTCAGGCCTGAGAAATTGTGTTTTAGAAGCAAGGTATCCTCAATTCCGGTTTTCTTCAAATTAAATCTTTTAAAGTGTCCACAAATAACAAATAGTTAAAGCCTAAAACTATGTAACAGAGGGCCTAGAGCCCAACCCACTGCCACCTCTGACTCCAAGACACCTCAGCAACTTGGTCCTCCTCCTCAGAGAACCCCCTTCTGCTCCTCCCTCCACACTCCTCTTCCTCCCCTCCCTTTCCCTGGACAGCCCTCCCCTTCCCCCCTTCCTCGGACAGCTTTCTTCCTCCTCTTCCCCCTGCCTGTCCTTGGGCAACCTCCTTGGAACTCCGGTTGAAAGTCACTGGTCTGTGGGGCCACCCATTTGACAGACGAGCATGCTGAGGCCAAGGCACAAGTGAGTGACTCAGACCCGCGCAGAGGCTGACCCAGAGGCCGTACCAACGGGTTGTCCTAATGCAAGAGAAGCAATGATGCGGCTTCACTGATCTCCAGGGAAAGCAGGTCGATAACAGGTTATAAACATGGGAACATTTTGAAAAGCCGTCGTCCACCTGTCAGCTCCATCTCTCCTGCCCGGAAGATGTAGGGAGAACCTGCCTTCAGCCCACCCTCATCCCGTAACAGGACAGAGGACAAGGGCAGAGACCCAAGTCCTGTCAGTGCCTCAGGAAACCCCCGTTTCCTCCTCACGGTGGAAGTGGAAACCATCCCGCTGGATGATCTCCCGGGGAGACCCTCCACCCTGAAAGCGAGGAATCTGGTTGAGCGCACACACATTCTTGGTGCCATCACTTTCTGCAGCTGAACACTGTGTACGTGGCCCATTATTCTTGCTAGTCCGGTGTTACTGGGTCCTGGGAGTTTCTGTGGCTGATGGCAAGTGTTTACCATTGTGTTTAGAGAGAACAGAACTTTTTTGTGTCGAAATCAATGATAACCATTGCCATGTGATTCCTTGGTTGGTTGGGGGGGGGATGCTCAAGCTTTTCTGAGGTCTAAGTGCTTGTTTGAGACAGTCTCACTTTGTCACCCAGGCTGGAGTGCAGTGGTGCGATCTTCGCTCGCTGCAACCTTTGCCTCCTGTGTCAAGCAGTTCTCCCTGCCTCAGCCTCCCGAGTAGCTGGGATTATAGGTGTGTGCCACCACGCTTGGCTAATTACAAAAATTTCTAATACAGGAATGGTTTTGCTGTATTGGCCAGGCTGGTCTCGAACTCCTTACCTCAAGAGATTGGCCCACCTTGGCCTCCTAAAATGCTGGGATTACAGGCTTGAGCCACTGTGCCCGGCCCGATCCTGACATCTTTTAAAGCTGCCTTCATGTACCAAAAGCCAGTCTATGTTTGAAAATCAGGCTTGTTGAAGAGCCTAGGAGGAGAGGGATATACTTCAGCTAGATAAATAACTATGCATATGTTAAAAATATGGGCCAAACTCTATCCCAAATATTAACTCTTCTGCTTTGCATTTTATATCCATTTATGGTTATTCTTTCAGTATTAAGATTTTTAAAGATTCTTTTGATAATTGTGGACAAATTACTATTAAAACTCAACTGCATTTGTAACACTTTAAAGAACTAACTAATGACATTATTTTTCTCGGAGGCATTTTGGATAGTTACATAATTGTTTATCTCTTTGCCAGAAATCTTTTTTTCCAGAGCAGAAACCTGAAAAGAAACATTCCTTTGCATTAAGTGCTATTTCACTGTGTGACAATCAAGTTTTGAATGTGAGAACAAGATCATCGTGTATTTTTGGGATAATTCTTGCTTAATAGTGATAATGCTAAGTGTTAAAATTATGGAACAATTTGTTTCTTTGAAAATTACCATTTGCCTGCTCATCAGGTGGGAGCTGATGAGAACGTGGATGTAAAAATTAAATTGTATTTAGCTTGTATAAAAGAAGTTTAAAAAAGCTTTTTTGTTTTGTGCTACTACTGAAGTTGCTTAGCTGTGGAAATGAGGTTATTGCAGGCACCTAGAATTTGATCCCCTTCACTTCCATGATGGGAAGAAATTCTCCAACAAGCACAGGAGTCTGACTTTCTGATATTGAGACTCCTAGGCGTCAAGCCCCATGGAAGGGGTGGTGATTACATGAGCGTTGGCGTTGATGTGGGCATCCTCCACGCCGGACGCAGGGAGCAGGGAAGGGCAGAAAGAACAGGCCCCTCAGGAGCCATGAGAAAATAAAGTGTTGGCAGCAGTGGTGAGGGTTGGTGTCAGGGGCCAGGAAGAGGTGGCAAAGGGAGCATGTGCCTCAAGATGGCTCTGGAACCCGCGGTACCTGCAGTGAGGTCTGGTCTGCAGGGGACGTGGACGGCCACACGGCGAGGCCCACAGACAGCCTGGACTCAGCTGCCTCAGAACTCTGATGGACGTTGCAAACGGCCCCACAGGGTTGCAGTGCACATTCCTCGGACAGAAAGAAGATGCTTGGAACTGTTCCCGGCACGAAGCCAGCACCCTGTGAACAGTGGCTGCTGCTGTTGTGACTGAGTGCCATCCAACTGGGAACATTTGCTCTGCTCAGTTCACTGTCTTCAACAAGCTTGACGCATTGAACGAGGATTCAGTTGATAATGTACTCTGTAAATATGCTCTCCCGGCTAGAGTGAGCAAAGCCCAGGGAGCGGGTGGTTCTTCAGTATTAGCCAGGTGTTTGTGGTGGGGCCAGCTGTGTGGCTGCCAGAGCGAATGTGACCAGGAAGCCTCTGTCCCCCCGAGGTGGCCAGCGATCCTGTTACACGTGCCATAGGCAGAAGGTGGGCACTGCTGGAGAACTTGCTCATGTTCCTGTTTTCTGATTGGAAATTCAAGGTTTCTGAGCATCTTACATTGAATTTGTACATTGCTGAGACTGTACACCTTTCAACGCTTGTTTTTCTCTGCTTTTCAGATCTATACAGCCTGGCATTTGGCCGTGGCTTCCAGGACAGGCTGGATGCAGAGTGAAGTCCTCTCCTCACTGTCAATGTTTGCAGATGTCTTCTTGTATAAACTTCACATTTCTTGAGACTTTCAATTAGGTTTTTACTTAACTGGACTTTTAAAATTGCCATGCACATAACTCTACCAGTTACAATCGTGAGCTAACATGGGTTTTTGGTTTTTGGTTTTACTTTGATGAATGTCTAACATTTGCGTGCTGGATGTGGGGTGGAGGTCATTTATCTGCTTTTCATTTCCTTCTTGGTTATACTTAGTGACTTTCAGGTAAGGTGTGGAAGGCGTGGTACGGGTGAATTGCAGCCGCACTGTGGCGCCGTGGAGGACAGGCGCGGGCTGCAGTGGTGTGCACAGTGGATGAGAGACAAGAGACTTCCGTCCTCCAGGGAAACACACAACAATTTAAAAAACTGATCATCTAGCTTACATGAGGTCCAACAAATACAGTTTGCAAAGTTGAACTTCCAAGTTAATTTAGTAATTTTTCCCCTAAGTCATTAATTTAGTAGCTTACGTTTAAATATATTTCTTTTGTCTAAAGGAAGTAATAAATTCTAAAATGAATGACTAAACATGTAATAATTTAGGCATACAGCACCTGAAGGGAAAACTGCCAGTATGCTAAAATATTGGATACAGATGCTTACAAAATATAATGTAGCATTCTTACAATGCATG